AGATGACCTGTGTGATGCTGACTTGATTGCCTGGATGAAATGGGCGGGAAGAACATGACGACTTGATTGCCTGGATGAAATGGGCGGGAAGAACATGACGACTTGATTGCCTGGATGAAATGGGCGGGAAGAACATGACGACTTGATTGCCTGGATGAAATGGGCGGGAAGAACATGACTACTTGATTGCCTGGATGAAATGGGCGGGAAGAACATGACGACTTGATTGCCTGGATGAAATGGGCGGGAAGAACATGACGACTTGATTGCCTGGATGAAATGGGCGGGAAGAACATGACGACTTGATTGCCTGGATGAAATGGGTGGGAAGAATATGACGACTTGATTGCCTGGATGAAATGGGCGGGAAGAACATGACGACTTGATTGCCTGGATGAGATGGGCGGGAAGAACATGACAAGGGGATGGGTGACCACAGCGATAAGGAGAACTAGCAAGCAACGCATGCCCTAACCTGCCATGCAGCCTCCCGATCGCCTTTACTCCGGCTGATTTCCAACTCGATATTCAACTTCAGGTCTTGTATCATCTGCCGTTCCTCACAAGCCGCCAGTTCCTCCGTGGCACGTGGCTGACTCAACTCCTGCACCTCCCTCCTCCACTCCTCCTCCCGTGCACACTCCGATGTCAATTCTTGCCGTCTCTTTCTAATTCTCCCTCTCACGCCTCCTATATCTGATGCCCTACTGCTCTCAGCAATTTTCTGCTTGTATTTCGCCAAATCTCCTTTCACCACAGCCAACTCCCCTTTCACCACTTCCAACTCCCCTTTCACCGCTTCCAACTCCCCCTTCACTACTGCGAACTGTCTGTCCCTTTCCTCCACCACATAAGTTGCCTCGTTCCTCTCCTCCACAGCAGTCAGCATGTGTCGCAGCTCATCCACCTCCTCCTTGTGTGCAGCCAGCTCCTCTCTCACTGCTGCCATGCCAGCACCGCTCTTTGATCAACTCATTCACTGCTGCACCGATCGCTCTCTCAGCAGCCATATCATCCATCCACTCCTCTCGAACAGCCCTGACTGATCCCTGTGTTCAACTGCCAAAGCAGCTGACGAATAGAGAGTAGGGTTTTGTTAAGTGTGCTGGGAGAGAAGAGAAACGCACATGGAGACGAGAAAGAGGGAGGGTGAAGAATTCGCACTGAAGCAAAATCAAGCGCATGGGTGTGAGGAAAGGCGCAGGGTGAGTATGGAGAAGTAGGAAGAGACCCGATGACAAGATGGAGACATTGATTCAACTCATCTTTAAATGAAGCCGTGAGAGTTGATGCTTGATGCATTTACCTTCAATTCTTTCGGCAGCAGAACAAGGGGAGGCCAGGAGTAGGAGCAGAGGAGGCCAGATGTCAGGAAGAGCAATGCGTGCTTATCTAGTTAGAAAATCCAAGGCAGTGGGCTTATTTCCTTTCCAAGCCAAGGCAGTGGGCTTATTTCCTTTCCAAGCCAAGGCAGTGGGCTTATTTCCTTTCCAAGCCAAGGCAGTGGGCTTATTTCCTTTCCAAGACAAGGCAGTGGGCTTATTTCCTTTCCAAGCCAAGGCAGTGGGCTTATTTCCTTTCCAAGCCTAGGCAGTGGGCTTATTTCCTTTCCAAGCCAAGGCAGTGGGCTTATTTCCTTTCCAAGCCAAGGCATATGGCTTATCTATTTGTGTAGATCGATTTCAGAACTCCCCACCACACCTTGACATCAATGCAAGTGGCTGCGGTGAGGGTTGCTAAAAGCGGCAGTAAACGAAGAGAAATAGGCCAGAACGGGATCCAGGAGGAGGAAGGCAGCACGATGGGATGCTGTATGAGGATGCAGAGCAGCAGTGACCACAAGGCGAAGAGCTCAGCCGCATGAAATATGCAACCTCACCAACCGACTACACATCCTCACACTGGATAAACGCAGATCCTTTAATCGGTGCTTGAAATGCTTGTTTCTCCTTAAAACAGTCAGGCAGCGAGGGAAGCCTGTGCGAGCGCACAACGAGAGGACACGGGAGAACAATATAGTGAATGCCATACCACAAGTGGGCAAGGGAGGGAGCGCGGCTTGGCCGTTTGATGTGTCCTTTGAGCCGAGACGGAGGATTTCTGAAGCCGACGCTCAGTGTGGCTTGGAATTCAATTCGGCTCTCAACGAGTTGTTTGGCTTGAGACGACGGTGCTGGTCGGAAAACAGAGCAACTCGGGTCACGCTGGTGGTTTTCCATTACACACTTCTTATGGCACATCCCCTGAGCTGGCGGATTAAACCTGGAGGAGGTCGAGTCGCGATGGCGAGCATGGCAGCTTGCTGCCGACAGCCTCCTCCACCCATTACATTCGAGCCACACGTCGGGCAGGAACTTTGGTTTGCCTCAGAGGGAGCCAGGCTCGGCTCAGCTCGGCTCGGCTCGGCCATCACATAAGCAATCCAAGCCAAAGTGGGTAGCGGCGAGCCCGGTTCGGCCTGCCCATTTCTCACCCATGGACGACACGACAGAATTAGGCAATGAGAGCGTTGACATGGTTGGGAGGGGTCATTGGTGGTAAGGAGGGTGGCTCAGGTTGTTCTGGATTTACCTGGAGGGTCTGAACTAGCTACAGTTCAGACCATGTGACAGCTAAAACCGTATCATTCCTTGGTGTTCAGAGGCTAGGCCAGTCAGAAGTAGGTCAATCACAAAAATAATCACTCACAAGCTAGGCAAGTCACAAAGGTCACATACAGGCTAGACCGATTACAAACCTGGTCACTCATACGCTAGGCCAGTCACAAGCTAGGACACTCCACTCACAGGCTAGGGCAGTATAGGCTAGGTCCAGTCACGATTGGAATCAGCTGAGGCTAGGTACTCATTGGAATTCTAGTTAAAAGCTAAGTCAAGGCTAGCTCCCTCACAAGAACGAGAACGACGAGAATGACGAGAACAACGAGAACAACGTGTGCCTTGATGAGTAGGAGGGGCAGGAGGAGGAGGAGGAGGAGGAGGAGGAGGAGGAGGAGGAGGAGGAGGAGGAGGAGGAGGAGGAGGAGGAGGAGGAGGAGATGTAGGAGGAGGCCTAGTGATTGCAGGGATGTAGTAGTAGCTATTTACTTCGTGTTTGCTACTACTAAAGAGACGTGGTTCCCTAACTATGTATGATGAGAAATGAGGATTTTTGTGAACTCTAAAAATGGGAAAAACGTTTTGGTACGGCAAAAATTTGACCCAAATGTGCCATATGTGCATGTCCCCCACCCTCCCCATGGTCCTCAAAAGTTTTTTTAGGCTGCCCAAACATTTTTTTAGGCCTGCCTGGGTTTTCGTCTGATATGCGTCTAACCTAGCTGGAAATGCGTCTAGCGTCTTAGATGCTGCGTCTAGACGCAACCGTCTAAGACGCTAGATGCGTCTTCCGTCACATAGCCTCCAGGCAGCGGGTGCACTGACTACCAAGGCATTATCACCTCCCTTTGACATGCCCTCCCTCTCCGCTATGTTGCCAGCGCACTATTTACAAGACGAAACGGCTAAACCTTGTGCTCTTGGGGCAACCTGCGGGTCACAAGCATGTCAGTCTCAGGTCAGTCTCAGGTCAGTTTCAGGTGAGTTTCTGGTAAGTTTCAGGTGAGTTTATGGTAAGTTTCAAGTGAGTTTCAAGGGGGATTTAGATAATTCCCAGGTGAGTCTCGAATGAGTCTCTGGACTCACTCACGCCACTTCTGTTACGCTCTGCAGCAGCCTGTGCCCTCGGGTTAAGCTGCTGGTCACAAGCAGGTAATTTGAAGGTCATTCTCAGGTGAATTTCAAGAGAGTCTCAGGTCAGTCTCATGTCAATCTCAGGTGGGGTTGAGAAAGTACCAAAATTGAGTCCAACCGGTCTGCTAGTCGAAGTGAACCAGTTTAATAGAGACGAGCCAATACCGAGGTTCATAACCGAACCCGTTCGGCAGCAGCATCTCCCGTGGATCTCAGCGAAATCTGCAATGTTCATGCACTTGGTGTCCCGGTTTCCATGTCAAACCTTTTTGTTGTATTTGTTGCGGCTCAGCACCTTAAGTTGAACCAACCAAACAGGTTGGCCCACTTTTGATCGAGTCATTTTAATTAATTTATCTATTTACTTGTTTATCTGTTAAATTTTCTTTTATTTTTATAATTACTTTTTTATTCTGTAATTGCAGCTTAGTACTTTGCATTGCTCAACGTTAGTACCAGGTCGGTCTCTGGTGATTTGGCAGTGTACAAGGTTAATCTACAAAAGCTAAGTGCCTTGCTGCTAAATGCCCTGTGGTTGTGGCAGTGCTAGTTATCCCCCATACCCGTCCCAATCGCCGTCCCCATCCCCATAGCCATCAACTCCTCCCCAGGTGTGCAGAGTGTAGCCAGCAGCGTCCATCACACTGGTCCTATTCGCATATCCTGCACCAGCCCCACTGATCTCTCTCCTTCTGGCCACTCTTCCCAACACCAGCACTCACCAGGTGTGCATAGTCCAGCCAGTAGCATCCATTCCCTGCCGTCAATACACTCAACGAACACACCTATCAACGATCGGCAGGTCAGTTGTGCCATGTATCGAACCTGCCACTGCCGAATGAGGTCTGTGCTTTCATTTGTTGCCTGGCACCAACGCTTCCATTGGCGCTGTCTCTCATTTTGACCCTTTCAGTATGAGGAAGTCATTTTCTTGATCTCATTGCTCCATGACACCATGATTCCACCACCCAATTATCTCAAAACCCCATCACCCCGTGACCCATCACCCCAGAATTTCATCAACCCATCACCTATCGTCCCATCATCCTCCCACAATGACCTTGCGTTGGCCTCGGCTCTCATTGCAATAGTTGGTGGTAAACAGCTCTGGCAGGTCTCTGCCTTCCCTGCCCCCACATGTTTCCAACTCCCTTAGTTGCACACAGCACAAGCTACAAACCAGGAGCTAGGAGACAGGAGATACATAATTTCTACCATTAATCGCAAACCCACTCCCCGCACCCCCCACCTCTTCCACCCCATTAACACATGGTTCTATGGCCTGAAGCTCTCTCCACTCCACCTTGCTTGCCCATGCTCGTTCCTCCCTCCCTCCTCTGCATACCCCAATCCCCTTCCAACAACCCACACCTTTCCAGCTCTTCCAACCCATCAAGGCAGTGCGCTACAGTATGCTCCTCCCCTCGCCCTACCCCATTTCCCTCCCTCATTGCTTTCCTCATTGCCTCTTCCTCCTTCTCTACCCTCCATTCCACCACCCAAAATCCCACACCTTTCCACCTCTTCCAGCGCATCATGGCAGGGCCCTATGGTGTACACTGCAGCTCTCTTCACCCTTCCTTCTCTACTGCATGCTCGTTGCTTCCCCTCCCTTTATCCCCACTCCCCTCCACTCCTGCCCTTCGTCGCACCACTTCCTAGCGCATCATGGCAGGGCAGGGGTGCAACGGATTGCACTTCCCCGTGTGAATCAAGACGGGCAAGCCTACGCATACAGCGACGTCCATCCCTTGCATTTCAAAGATTTCTTGTCATAGTCCCTCGTCAAAAGCCCCTGGCGAGTCTCCTCGTCCAAATTTATTGTCAAATTTCCTCCTTATAAGCTGCCATACTGAAATCATCTCATTGCCTCTTGCAGCATTCACAATCTTCCCCACCCCACTCACCTCCTCCCACCCCACTCACCTCCTCCCACCCCACTCACCTCCTCCCATTCCACTCATCTCCTCCCACCCCACTCACCTCCTCCCACCCCACTCATCTCCTTCCACCCCTCTCACCTCCTCCCACCCCAATCACCTCCTCCCACCCCACTCATCTCCTCCCACCCCACTCACCTCCTCCCACCCCACTCACCTCCTCCCACCCCACTCATCTCCTCCCACCCCACTCACCTCCTACCACCCCAATAATCTCCTCCCACCCCACTCATCTCCTCCCACCCCACTCACCTCCTCCCACCCCACTCATCTCCTCCCACCCCACTCACCTCCTCCCACCCCAATCATCTCCTCCCACCCCACTCATCTCCTCCCACCCCACTCATCTCCTCCCACCCCACTCATTTCCTCCCACCCCACTCACCTCCTCCCACCCCACTCATCTCCTCCCACCCCACTCATCTCCTCCCACCCCACTCACCTCCTCCCACCCCAATCATCTCCTCCCACCCCACTCATCTCCTCCCACCCCACTCACCTCCTCCCACCCCACTCACCTCCTCCCACCCCACTCATATCCTCCCACCCCACTCACCTCCTCCGACCCCAATCATCTCCTCCCACCCCACTCATCTCCTCCCACCCCACTCACCTCCTCCCACCCCACTCACCTCCTCCCACCCCACGCACCTCCTCCCACCCCACTCACCTCCTCCCACTCCACTCACCTCCTCCCACGCCACTCACCTCCTCCAGTAGTGCCCCATCCATCCTTCCTACCCTCTCCAACCGTCAGCTGCTCATTATTTCAACGCTGTCGTGCTGTGCCCATCACCTCACCTCATCTCAAATGCTTTCATCCGTCCAGTGTATGAACCAACTTTCCCCCTCCACCTCAGGTCCTCCTCCTCTGCCCGCCATCACCCTCTCGTCTGCTCCCACACCATACCAGCCAAGCAGCAGCACTATTGTCATCGCATCTCCAGGCAGCATCCTTCCCTCTCTTCCACATCACCTACACTGATGTGCTGTCACCCAGTCCCCCACCTTCTCCCCCGTCCCTATGGCCCACTCCCGTCCTGTTCGGCCTATATATTTGCCTCCCCACTCTCGCTCCCAATCTCCCCTCTCCTGCACCTAGCAGTGCCATGCCCTCGCCATAATGGCATGTCCTGGAAGGAGCTGGGGCTGGAGCAGAGATGCGCAGGGGTAGAACAGGTATGGCTACAGTAGCGGCAAGTAGGAATTCAAACTAGTGGGTAGGTCCACAACATATGATGATCATTTTTTAGGAACAGCCATGCTTGTGCGTTTCAACAAGAGTGATGCAACAAATTCGCACGCGAATTCCTTTTCATAGCTCATCCCACGATGTGCATCTTATCAATCTGTTCTTTCTAGATTGTTTTCACTTTCACATGTCCATGATGCTTGGAGGCACGTGTTGTGTTGGCTGGAAGTTTGAAGGCTGGAGTGGAAACGATCATTAGTGGCAAGATTGCCTGTTCTAGTAGGAAAAGATATTCTTGGGACAGCCTTGTCAGCACATTTCATCCCACGGCTCATCCCAAACTCCCATGGTGTTGTTTCTGAATCAGATTTGAATGCCCTTCTCTTATGCCTGCCTCTCACTGATCTCTGCCCTTCACCCTGTACCAGCATAATCCCTGTGTTTCTAGCCCTTATCACCTCCTTGTCACACCAAAGATGTCTTCTCCATACATCCCTTTCACCTCCTCCTTCCTGCCTGTTGTCTTTCTTGCCTTTTACCTTTTGTAACATCCCCAAGATGTTTCTCCAGCCCTTGTCACCCTGCATCTCTTGCTGCCTCATCCCGCTTTCCTCTTTATGGGCTCCTTATGGCACAATGGTGCGTCTGTAGACCTGCTGTGGATTATGCCTCACCGTATGGAACATGGCATACCTTATTGCATACCTCATTCCATACTACGCATTCCACTACTCACTCATCATTCTGCTGCTCCCACACCATGAGTTCCTCGCACTCTCATCTTTGCTCTTTACTCATCCCTTCCCAGCACTTACTCCCGGTATGATCCTCTTGAGCTCAGAGGGACACAGTGAGGGTGCCACACAGCAGAATGTACTTACGGGTGGAGTGTAGGGTTACAGTGAAGGGGCACTGCTGCAATTGCCTCTTCCTTCAGCAGGTAGGATACTTCAGTGGTGAGTTGTGGTGACACACGACCTCAGAGGCTATGAGGGCAAGCTGTAAGCATCACTTCAGGTGCAGCACACACTGAGATGAGATGTTCACAAGGTGCAAGTCTTCATGTCCAGCAAAACATTCAGTTCCATCTCTTCTGGAGCATCATTCCCTTTACCTATGTTGCCGTGCGCCGCCATAGAATGCCAACAGGCAAGGATGAGTGTGATGGAATGGGAGCATGCATGTCCTCTAAACATTTCCTATGCATAGATGGCCCCACTTCCTTATGATTCAACCCTGTCTGTCCCCAATTCCATCACATGCATAATGCTTTACGACAAGCCCTCTCTGAAATGAAGCCCTCAATGTCATTTGCATCCTTGTGCTCGCTAGCTTTATGGTGTGATTAATATATCCCTAGTTAGACTGTACAATATGTATACATAGGTAGTGTCAAATGCTCTGGTAGTCATCGATTTGATATTTAGGTGATAAATTGTTTGTTTGGTTAATCAGGAACAAATCACATGGGAGTGTTTTTTAAACCAGCCAGCACCCTTTGAGCAAGGAGCTGCCATCACTATCATGCCTCCTTCCTAGCACAACACGCATGCATACATCCCTAGTACACTCCCCTTTATACACGACCCAAACGTAGGCCACTCTAGCTGTACAAAGAAAATGCCATTTTAAACCGGCTTGGACACTCCTCCATGTTCTCCCCTCATTCTCCACAACCCTTGCCTCCACCCCTCTTCCAGTATCACCCAAGCATGTCAAACATTATATTATATATGTTGCATTTGTGTAGGCTATAGTGGGTTAGCCTTTTGGGGGTACATTATTCTAGGGTTAGGTATTTGTACTCTCACTTGATCCCTTGGATCCGCGCTTCTCGTCTCCAGCCCAGCGAGCGTTTCCACTCGGAATTTCCTGTCCTCCGCTTGCACTCTCGCAGAGGTGGTGAGTTCTCCTCCGACCTCTTGGCAGCCTACTGTGCGGAGCACGGCATCCGCCAGTTGTTCACGCTTCCGGCCTCACCACAGCAGAATGGGGTTGCTGAGCGCCGCATTGGCTTGGTCATGGAGGTCGCTCGTACCTCCTTGATCCATGCGGCTGCCCCCCACTTTCTGTGGCCGTTTGCGGTCCAATACGCTGCGCATCAGCTTAACCTCTGGCCCCGTGTCTCCTTGCCAGAGACTTCCCCGACACTGCGTTGGACGGGAGAGGTTGGCGATGCGTCGCGTTTCCGGGTCTGGGGATCTCGAGCTTTTGTTCGCGATACGTTCGTGGACAAGCTCTCCTCCCGTGCTGTCCCCTGCGTCTTCCTTGGCTTTGTCCCAGACGCGTCTGGTTGGCAGTTTTACCACGCCACCTTGCGCCGTGTCCTGCCCTCTCAGGACGTCACTTTTGACGAGTCCGTGCCCTACTACCACCTCTTCCCCTACCGCACTACCCCGCTCCCCCCCCCCGCCTCTCTTCCTCGCGCCAGGTGCTGCTGTGGTAGACCCCCTCCCCCCTCAGGGTGCCGCTCCCTCAGGTGTGTCCCAGGTAGACCCGGTTGAGCCTGTCAAGGTAGCTGTCGACTCTTGTCCTGCTAGGGGTGCTGAGCCTGAGCGTGCGGAGCCTGGGGTTGCGGAGTCTGGGGGTGCTGAGCCTGTGGGTGCGGAGTCTAGGGGTACTGAGCCTGGGGGTGCGGAGCCTGCGGGTGCTGAGTCTAGGGGTGCTGAGCCTGGGGGTGCGGAGCCTGCGGGTGCTGAGTCAAGGGGTGCTGAGTCTGAGGGTGCTGAGTCTGGAGGTGCTGAGCCTGGGAGTGCTACACCTGGAGGAGCTCTCTCCTCAAAACAGCTGCGTGAGTGGTACTTACAGTACTGCAGCCTCAGGAGAGGTGCTTCTGGAGCTAGGAGTGCTGCTGGAGCTGGTGCTCGTGCTTCCCCTCCTAGGCAGGAGCTGCCCTCTCCCCAGCGGCTCCGAGAGTTGTACGCACGGCGCTGCAGTCTCCGGAGTGGCTCTTCTAGTATCGCGGACCCTGGTACTGTAGGTGCTGCTGCTGCTGGCGGTGCTGTTGGTACAACTGGAGGTGCTGCTGGTGCTAGTGCTGCTGACGCTGCTGGAGGTGTTGCTGGTGCTGGTGTTGCTGCTGGTGCTGCGGACCCTGGAGTTGGAGCTACTGCTGGTTCTGAGGACACGAGCGTTGGAGCTGCTGCTGGTGCTGCGGACCCGGGCGTTGGAGCTGCTGCTGGTGCTGCGGACCCTGGAGTTGGAGCTGCTGCTGGTGCTGCGGACCCTGGAGTTGGAGCTGCTGCTGGAGCTGCGGACCCTGGAGTTGGAGCTACTGCTGGTGCTGAGGACCCTGGCGTTGGAGCTGCTGCAGGTGCTGCGGACCTGGGAGCTGGTGCTTCCGGTGTAGCTAGAGACACTTGAGCTGGAGTTACTGGTGGTGTCTCTGCTGGTTCTGGAGGCGCTACGCGGCCGCGGCCGTACTTCGTTGCGCTCCTTCAGCAGGTTCTTGGTCAGCCGCCTCCTCCTAGTCCTTCTCCCTCCTTTGAGTGTCCTCCGCCTGTCCAGTCGCAGTCACAGTTACCGCGTGCCTCGCCTCTCCCTGGTCCTTCTCCTTACACTGGTCCGACAGGCGGTCTCACTGAGCGTCGTGAGCCTGAGTCTCGTCCAGTGTTGCCAGAGTCTTGGTCTGCATCGCCTGTTTGTGTTGCTCGCACTGGTCGTCAGCGTCCACCTGCTGTCCCAGGCACTCAGCAGATGGTGCTTCGTCCTTCCACTGCTCCTCAGCGTGTCCCTCTGCCGTCTCCTCCTGCGTCCTCTCTTCTTGCTCTTGCTGACCCGGAGTCTGACTCCCTCCGTGCTACCAGTCCTACTGTCACGCGTCTCCTCGCCTCTGTTGTCACTGACCATACCTTTGAGTCCTCTACGGCGTCTGCTGTGGTCGCTGAGTTAGTTGAATTTGCTGCCGCTTGTCGTCTAGACTACGCCGCTAGCCTAGTTGCTGAGTCTGAGTCTGTCTGTCCTCCGTCCGTCGGGGGTGAGTGTGCTCTTGGCACGGACATCCTTGAGGACAGGCAGGAGGAGTTTGAGTGCTTTGCCGCTGCTTTACCTCATCTCGTGTCTATGCTGGTTGCCCCTGAGGGAGACCCGGATGCTCCAGACATCCCGACCCCCTGCTCTTACGCTGAGGCGGTCGCGTGTGAGTACTCCTCTCAGTGGCAGACAACCATGGACTCAAAGATGGCTTCGGAAGTCCACAGGCACCTACGTCGACGAGGTTCCCCCACCTGGGGCGAACATCGTCAGTGGCATGTGGATTTTCAGGGTGAAGCGGCCGCCGGGTTCTCCGCCTGTCTTCAAGGCGCGTTACGTTGCACGAGGCTTCAATCAGCGAGAGGGAGTTGACTTCTTCCAGACCTTCTCCACGACCCCGAAGATGACCACTCTTCGGGTTCTGTTGCACGTCGGCGCTCAGCGTGACTACGAGCTCCACTCACTTGACTTCAGCACTGCTTTCCTACAGGGCAGCCTGCACGAGGAGATCTGGCTGCACCGCCCACCTGGCTTCACTGGGTCGTTCCCTCCTGGTACCCAGTGGAGCCTCCAGCGGCCAGTCTACGGTCTCCGACAGGTGCCGAGTGAGTGGCACGACACACTGAGGACTACACTTGCGGCTCTTGGGTTCGCTCTTTCTACTGCTGACCCGTCGCTGTTTCTACGCACCGACACTTCGCTGCCGCCGTTCTACAACCTCGTGTACGTCGACGACTTGGTCTTTGCCACTGCTGACACTGCGGCACTCGCCCACATGAAGTCGGAGCTGCAGAAGAGACACACGTGCACAGACCTGGGTG